CTGTTTTTGCTATATCTCTTATTGATTATAAGGATTTTCTTTAAACAATTAATTTGAAGCAAATTAATTAAATTTCAATAAATGGATCATAATTTAATTTTATATTCAATTCATGATTTCCACCATTTACGACGACGTGTAAGCGAACCAGTGCCAATTTTGGGCGCTGTGGGGGCTAATCCTTCCCCACGTGTAACCGACTCCCGAACCTGTTTTAATCGAATCTTTGGTAAACGCAGACCAACTTTTGTCTTAAAAAATGATTTCTTTAAAATTGTTTTTAAAAGACGTTTTTAGGTATTCGACCTACTTAACCCAAAGGTTGATGGCGACTCTCTTTAATTTTATCCAATTTAATCCAAAATTACCCAAATTTTCAAAATTAAAAGTTGTAACCGTTTAAAAACAATTAAATGATTGTTCCAACCTAAAAACTGTTATGACAGAATAGATCATGCTTCCTCAATAAGAATAAACCCCCTTTTGATCGCCAATAGCTTTGCAAGTATATGAGGACCGCTCCCAATCTTCTCTGAAAACGAACCAAGTAGCACACATGTTCTATCCCTAATCAATCCACTTATTCCTCCTTTATCCCATCCCTTAACCATCGCACTATATACATTAAGTTTTATGAACCCATCCGGAGAAGGTACCACCTAGATGAAGGAGAACACCCTTTTTTTCGTCTTCTTTCTAAATCTTCTAATTTTATATCCCCCACTAATGAGTCGAAAGAAATATGAACATACTTAAATCTAGCTCCAAACAAAGAAGTAATTCTAAATCGAGCAAGAAAAAACAACAACGTAATATCCATATTTCCTTTCTAGAAAATTATCTCATTCATGCACTTCCAAACCGACCACAAAACTACCCTTGGAATGAATTTCCAAATAATAGAGCTCGAAACTAGGTCATCCCACAAAATTATAAAATTAATCAAATTCTTAGGAACTACAAAAGAAACATTCTAGTAATTCAAAAATCTAGACCACAAATCCCATACCACCTCACAGTGCAAAAACAAACGTGTAACCGACTCCACAAACCTCCCACACATCGGACATAAGGGGTCATCAATCCCAGTCACTTCTCTCTTCAACAGTTTCTCCTTAACCGCCACTCTCTGATGTGCAACTTGCCAAACAAAAACTTCCACTCGGGGTGGTGCTACCCCTGCCCATACATGTCTTTCCCAAGTACCATCATTCCCGTCATTACCAGCCCGATCAAAAAAATTATTGATGCATGATTTAGCTAAAAAATAACCCTCTCCATTCCCTAACCATATCCATCAGTCTTCCTCTAATAATGACAAAGTGGTACTATTCAATAAGGAAATAAGCTGCAACCATTGCTCAACTTCCCAATCCACCAAGTTCCTTCTCACTTGAATATCAAACCCATCACGTAGCATTATTCACCCTGAACTTCGCAACTTTACCCCCTTTATTATTCGAAAGAGCAAAAAGCCTCGGGAACTGATCTTTAAGAGGAACCAACCCTAACCATACATCATGCCAAAACTCCACTGATTCTCTATTTCCAGCTCTTAAACACATATTTTTCCTAAGATAATCCCCAAATTCATCACTAAAAAAGAAGTTCTTAACAACTCCTCTCCAAATCCAAGAAACACGTGCTGTCCAAGTATTCCCAATCATCATAGAATTTAGATCCAAGTTGTACACACAACACACAACCTTTTTCCACCAAGAACTCTTTTCTGAAGCAAATTTACATACCCATTTCCCCAATAGAGCCCTACTCAAGAGAAATAAATTCAGAATCCCTAAACCCCAACCTCTTTGGCTTACACACCAACTTTCAATTCACCCAATAAATGTTCCTTTTTTCCGTCAAACCCCCCATAAAAAAGATGCCATGATAGGGTTTAGTTTGTTTAACACACTAATTGGTCTCCGAAAAATAGAAAGAAAGTCAATGGGAAGAGAATGCAACACAGATTTCACCAAAACTGCCATGTCAATCAACAATAGAGACTTAGCCTTCCATTCAGCCAACTTGTTATAGAATCTCTGTACAATCGGCTCCCACAAGACAGACGAGTTCATCTTGGTTCCCAACGGTAAACCTAAATACTCCGATGGAAAAGATCCCATTGAACAACCAATTTCCTTAGCCCAAGAAGCTAACACCTCCTCCTCAACATTAATTCCAAATATTCTACTCATAGCTAGATTTAACTTTTTTTATAGAAGCTGGAGGCCTCATTAAAAACTCCCTTCGTATTCGTCCACATACTAAAAAGTATGTTAACGAACATTGGAAGCAAGAAAAGGGTACCTCCTAGTTTATTAATAATAGTATCGAATACATATGGAAACACTGAATATTTTCAAATGGAGAAATACACCCTTACAACAAACCAGAAACACTTAAAACTCTAACTTCCTCAACTAGAAAATTCCATCGACAATCATCCTGTTTCTAATTTACGCCTCCAGCAAAAGCAACAAAACCACACAAAAGAACAAAACACAAAAGAAAACCAACACCTGCAATCATTTAACTAACTCAAAGCCCCAATTGAAGAAACGAGATCTAATGAGTATTGACTTCGTCAGAGACCTAAGAATTTGGTTTGAAGGAAGGCTCAATTTCATGCACCATGATTTTGAATGAGTTAGCACCGACCTTCAACTCCAACGACTCGTCAATTCTCAATTTCTCCTTTGTGAGGATTTGAATTTTTGCCTGATCAAAAGATTATGGTGATTGACAGCTTTTGTCGATTGCTAATAAATTACCCCATTTATCTATAATTTTTTTGAAAGTATTCCAATTCCAAACGTGAAAAGGAACTTTCTCGCAAACTAACCACACTCGACGACATTCCACAACTAGACTTTCTGACCAGGCATCAACTCTAGAGAACCACTTAGCGAGAGTCTGTGATTCATCATTCTTCACACTTCTCAATGAAGAAGAGCCTTCAAAAATCATAAGTACTACATTTCCACTAGCTCTCATTAATGAGAAACCAGTGAGTCCATTGGCTTGCATTTGACTAGCGAGATTACCGATTTTGATAAAGTCCTTGCACCAACCCACTAGACATTTACTCAACACGTGAAGTTTATCCTCGCCCATAACACCTTCAACTTCACTATGAATATTCCTCAAAACAACTTCCATCACCGACTTGTGATGAATAGTTATAGAGAACTTTCTCCAAAAACAATGTCAAGGTTTAAATTTAGCCAAAGAAAGTCTAATTTTACTTCAATTAATATATGAGCCATTCATTTCTGAGATTGATTTCCTTGCTTCTTTGATTTTTGCAAATCGGATGAACCCAAAACAAACGTCTTTTGAATTCCTTTTATTATGAATGAAAGCATCAATAACCGGACCATGGGTGCAAAAACAAATATCCAAACCTCTTCCAATGGATCTTTTCTGGTAAGTTTTCGATAAATAACGTGTAACAACCACTTCTGTTCCCATTATGGATTTTCGGTTAGCCTTCCTTCCACCAATTGTGAGACTCGGTTCTCCTCCTTCTTGTTTCTTCAGACGACTTTTCATCGGAATACCTCTTTGAATGCAGTTCCCCACTTGATCTAGACTTAAACTAACCCATTATATCTCCACCACTCAACGACTACTTCCGATTACCACCATTAATAGTTTCCTTCTAAACAGGTGTATCCCACCATTCACGACCCTCGGTGAGTGTTTGGAGATGTTCATGAATTTTCAGCTATGATTGGGTAACTCGTTGTTTCCTTCTACCCTTCATCTTTGAGCCAAAACTCTAGGGCAGAACCAATAATCGAAATCTGGCTTCTCCGTTGAAAAAACCCAAAGCTGAGAAGGCGTTGTATAACCTCAGAATCAACCTACCTCAGATTTGATACGATCCAGCGACTACCGAAGGAGAATACATTATAAGCCAAACTGATGTCGTCCGATTTAAGAAGAAGGATGTGGATGCAGCCGTCAGTGGTGATTGGAAGTTAAGTGAACTAGGCGGGATTTTAATAGATGAAGTTGGTTCGGTGCTTGGTTCTTTCCAAGAAGCTGCTGGTATGGGTCTTCCTACCTTATTGGAGCTCAAGGAAATCAAGCAGGGTTTAATCTTCTTTGATTCCTTTCGATGGTGCTTTAAGAAACGTTTATTTATTGAAAATGATAGCAAGTTGTCTGTAGAGTGAGTAAAGAATCTGGATAAATGTCCATATGTGTTTGTTACTATTGTTAAGGATATTGTTGATAGGTTAAGAGTTTTTGAGGTTCTTATTCACTGGGTAGCTAGGATAACAAATATAGAGGCTGATGGTTTAGCTAAATCTGGTATTGGCTAAGTTAAGGAGTTTCAGCTTCGGTGGTTTTTTCTTTTTGTTTTTTTGGGCTTTCAGTTGTAAGGGGGGGCTGATCTTGGATGTAGTCTACTCTTTGTAATACTTTTTATCAATAAATTTGAGGTACTCTTTTCCTCCTTCCGCTAATTAAGGAATTTCAGTAGGCGTTCCTCTAATCATGAAGGGTTTTTAACGTGGCCTCCTCTTTTTATAAAAAAAATTATTTGAGTTGTTTTAATGTAGTCACGTGAATATGTTGTTGGTCCATTTTCGTTATTGGTGGGTGGTCATAATTGAACTCTTGTTGAGTTATGATCAATTAACAATATTGGGGTTTTGATATGCTAAGATATTCCTAGGGAATTGATTTTAGTCCTTTTCATCACTGAACGACTTCTGCATCTCTTTTAAAATCAGTCATCAAACCCTAAAACATGAATGATTTTGAGTGGGTTTTTGCAACTTGAATCGTTTAATAGCAAGCCCAAGAAAAATTGAGACTCTGAAAGGAAAGTGCATAGAAAGTTTCTTCAAGTCGCTGTTGCCTGTCGACCCTTTTATTTGATATATTATTTGACATTTTTCTCTTGAATTACTTTAATTTGGCTTGATCAATTTTAACAGGAGGCCGACTACATTACAAGACAGGACCAAGGATAGTGATGATGATTACCAAGATAGGGATTATGATGTTACAGCCTTGGCAAATAACTTAAGCCAGGCATTTAGATATGGCATTTATAGTAATGATGATACGGATGAGGTGCTTCCTATAACTTTTGTACTAATCCAGCTATATTTATCTTCTATTTGAATACCAGGACCAAGAGAATGAACTTGTAAAACATAAATTATATTTTGGAAATAAACAATTATTCTACATTTATTAAGGGATGTATTTTGTTATTTATACTGCAACTCATGAGACCTCATTAGAACCACTTTTAATTATAATTGAAATGTTTCAATGAGTGGTTCTTGATTCTCCCTTAGCATTCATCTTAGAAAAAGGTCTTGCTGATTTTTTCGAAGCTTCTTGTGCAATTATTGTGGTTTTGCCTTATATTACTTCGACTTTACATTTTTCTATCTGTGTCTGACATTTGTGTTTGACATCCAAGCTGGACCAATATCTTGAACATGGGTATGAGATATGACCTTCCAATACTTGGAAAAACTTGAATAAAATTGAAAATATCTGTGTTGAACACATATATGTATCTAATATTCATATTCGAGTCCGAGTAACATAGGCTTTCCTTACTATTCTCATATTACTTCCATAGTATATTTATCTTCTATTTTCCAACCCAAACTTGTTAGTTCTTTTTATTTAATGTCTTTTCTTCTCTGCATTTTAAACTTCAATCTTACTAGTTTAGATACCCTTTTATTTCATATATTTCTGTCTGTTTTCATTCTGTTGTTAAATTAGTAAACACTTTGATTTAAAATGCACTGTCGGTTTTTAATATGCAATTATCATTTTTCGTGTACATGCTTCTGTTTTTTAATATGTTGATATCATTTTTTTCATATATTTGAGGTACATGACTCACTTGAAAGAGATGATGAGGTAGGTATATGTTATGTGCTATGATCTTGAATTAAAGTCAGTAGATGGAGAATTGGTGTTTTGAATAGTTATGTAGGAACAAAGTTTGCTAAAAATTATTACGAGGACTCTTCCTCTTTGTGCTTTTCCCTCTAGTTTTAGGGCACAACTGCAAGTTCCTACTAATGATTTTGTCATAACAATTTTTTTTTTAAAAACAATTAAGTTTAAAAAAATAATTATGACTTTATTTTGAAGAAATTGGAGATCTTGAATTAATTTGGATGAGAGTCGCCATCGACCTTTGGATTAGGTAGATCGAATACCTAAAAACGTATTTTAAAACAATTTTAAGAAAAATCATTTTTTAAGACAAAAATTGGTGTGCGTTTACCAAAAATCTGATTTAACGGGTCCGGGAGTCGGTTACGCGTAGGGAAGGATTAACACCTCACAGTCTCCAAAATTGGTACTTAGTCGCTTACACATCGTCGTAAATTGTAGAAATTATAAATTAAATATAACGTTAAAATATGATCAATTTATTAAAGTTTAATTAATCTGCTTTGAATTAATTATTTAAAGAAAAATCATTTACTTGATAAGAAATCTCGAAATTTGAAATCCTCTGTCGGGAAAGCTATCTCAAATATTTCTCATCCGTAAAAGAAGATTCTATCTCTTAATTATTTAAAACATTTGAATTATTATCACAATTTTTGCATGAAATAAATTATGATGCATTTTTTGAAAACATAAATTATCAATACTAACATTAACTAATACAACATGAAAAAAATAACAAACAATAAAAAGAAATAAAAAAATTTATTATTTTAATAAATACATAAAAGCGCTCGTAATTTCAAGTTCATATTCCGTTCGAACGTCGTACGAGATTATACCACTTCGATTAAGTGGTGCTTTCCACGCCCATTCTACAAATAACGTTCTTGAAACTATTCGAGTAACATATAAATATATGATGAAAATAAATGCAATTTGAAACATAGAATAAAGTATCTACAACAAATAAAGCTAATAAGATTTACTTAAAATAATATAAATAATATGTAAAATATATTCATACATAAAGGTCTAAAATAAAATCAAGTGAACATTACAAACCAAAATACAATCGACAAAAATAAGTACATTTGGTAATTCAAAGGACTAGAATAGGAATAATGGAAACTTGAAGGATCAAAAAATAATTACAAACAAACCAGAGCCCAGATCGAACATATTAAACAATACAGGTGCTGGAAACGAAAATAACCCATAAATAATATTAAGGACTGAAATGAAATAAATCATAAACATAATAGGACAAATAATAATTAAACCTAAATGTATTCATACTAAATGTGACTAAAACAAAAGAATAAAAAACATAGGGTCAGATTCGAATATTAGTAAACATGGCATAATATATAAACCTAGTGACTTAAATGCGAACATTGAAAAATAGAGGAACAAAACAAAATAATAAGCTTCATTCCATGGCAAAATAGCGAGATTACAATGACAAAAGGACCAACTTTGCTAATATCCCATGTTATAAAATACGTTGAAATCCCTCCCTTAAACGACGTCGTATAGCTGGTCAAATATCAAGCCAAATAATAGGCCAGAATTTGGTCAAACCTCCCATTTGTTTCATTTTTTTAGCCTAAGGGAGGAAGAGAGAAAATTCTCTCAACTCTCTCCTCCCCATTTTCTTTGTACCCACCACCGAGTAAAGCAAACCAAAGCCTCGGCCACTGTAAATCGGTGGCCACGGGTTAAAACAATCAATGATAGCCTCTCATAACCCAACCCCTTATAACCAAGCTCTTAAACCCAACCCTCGCATGTACATAAGTCTAAAAACAAGACCCCAAATCCAAAAGGTAAAACATTTACCTTCGACGTCGACACCGTATCACTCTAACAAAGCAAAGGTGACAGATCTCCCTAAAAGGTGAGTTTAGTTTTTGAATTTCCTTGGGTTTTTTGGGGTTCGAATGGTTTTTTTTGGATTTCTCTCTTGTTTTTCTTTTTGGTTCGAATATGGCTGGGTTTTATTCCTAGTTTTCTCTCCTGGTTTTTCTGAATTCCCCACTCTCTCCTTGTTGCCTCTTGCTTTTTATGGTATGTTTTGATTGATTTTTCCTAATGAGATGATGAGATCTAGAATAAAGGCATGGCATCTCTGCTTTGGTAGGTGAAATCCCATATTTTTGGGATTTAGGGTATTTTAAAATGGGTTTAGGTTTATTACTAACTTGGTGTACTTTACCCACTGTTCAGTTGGATTTGATGATGAAGGCGGCTCGAGAGTGTTCGACTGTGGCTCACGCAGCGAGGAAGGCGACAAGTGAAGTTCACGTACCAGTCTGGAAAGATGACGAGTTGGGCATGTGCATTACACACGCGGGTGGGCTGGTATTTCCTGGTCGACGATGGCTAGAAACAAGTGAGGAGTTAGGGTTTTGAAACCCTAACTGAATCGGGTCAGATCAGCTACAATCGGGTTGAATCTTGGGCTTCGGGTCGGATCTTGGGTCGGGTTGGTTTGTTGGCTTTTGTAACTTGGGTTCCATTTAGGTCTGTAAAATGTAAAAGATAATAATAATAATAATAATAATAATAATAATAATAATAATAATAATAATAATAACAAAAAAATAATAATAAATGAGAGCCCAGACAAAAACAGGTGTCAACGGCTGCCCCTCTTTGCCCATTTTTGTGTTAACAATAATAGGGCAAAGACAACAAGAAACAAGTTTTTGTCTGGTTCTTCCTTTCTCTTTGAAACTTGATATGTTAAAGACGACGCTACTCATCCATATGAAGAGATTTGGTCGCTTTTAGATAGATTGTTTGTTGAAGACGACGTTGTTCCTTCTCGTTGAGGAAATCGGGTCAATCTGGGGATGATTTTGTTGCCGAAAATGACACAGCTCATCCGCGATGAAGATTTCTGGTCGTTTTTAGGTAAATTTAGAGACAACACGGTTCCTACGTTGAGGAAATCTGGTTGTCTAAGGGTGACGTTGCTCCTACGTGATGAGGAGATCAGGTCGGTGGATGACATTGTTCCTATGATGAGGACGTCTAGCCATCTTTAGGGATAATTTGGGAGACAACACGATTCCTACATGATGAAAAGTCTGGTTATCTAAGGATGACACTGCTCCTACATGATGAGGATGTCTAACCGTCTTTAGTGATAATTTGGGAGATAACACGGTTCCTACGTGATGACAAAGTATGGTTATCTATGGATGACACTGCTCCTACGTGATGAGGAGATATGTTCGGTGGATAAAATTGTTCCAACGTGGTGATGACATCTAGCCATATTTAGGGATAATTTGTTTCAAGAGAAACTGTCTCAAGCGAGAAAAATATGTTTCAAGGGAAAGAATCTCAATTATTAATGTTTCAAGGAAAACTGTCTCAAGAGACACAAAACTTTGCTTCAAGAGAAATTGTCTCAAGCGAGACAAAACTTTGTTTCAAGGGAAACTGTCTCAAGTGAGACAAAATTTGTTCAAGGTAAACAATCTCAATTGTTTATGTTTCAAGAGAACTGTCTCAAGAGAGACAAAACTTGTTTAAAGAGAAACTGTCTCAAGCGAGACAAAACTTTGTTTCGTGAGAAACTATATCAAGCGAGTCGAAATTTTTTTTGAGAGAAACAATCTCAAAGATTTATCAATTTTGTTTCAAGTGAAACAATTTTAGAATTTGTGTTCCGAAGAAAAAAATGTCTCAAGTGAGACGAAATTTGTTTTGAGAAGAATCTCAAGTGAGATAAATTTTGTTTCAAGTGAAACAATTTTCAAATTCTGTGTTTTAAGGAAATATTATCTCCAGCAAGATGAATTTGTTTTGAAAGAAACAATCTCAAGTGAGATTAATTTTATTTCAAGTAAAACAACTTTGAAATTTGTGTTCCGAGGGAAACTGTCTCAAGTGAGACGAAATTTATTTTTAGGAAAAATAATATCAAATATTTGTGTCTTAAGGAAGTTTGTCTCAAGTGAGACAAAGTTTGTTTTGAGAAAAATAATATCAAGTGAGATCAACTTTGTTTCAAGTGAAACAAATTCAAAATTTACATCTCAAAGGAAAATTGTCTCAAACGAGACGAAATTTGTTTTGAGAGAAACAATCTTAAAGGCTTGTGTTTCAAAAGAAAATGTCCCAAGCGAGATAAAATGTGTTTTGTGAAAAACAATCTCAAAGGCTTATAGACTGTCTGCTTCTGCATGTTGAGGAAAGTTACCATTAGAAGATCTAATCGTTCACTTCAGGATGTCAAATCTGCGGATGACATTGTTCCTTCGTGTTGAGGACGTCTAGTCATCACCAAACGTTTATTTTCTAAAAGATAAAAAAAATGATGCATTTATGAATAAATATCTTGGATGTTATGATGAAGTTGATTTAATTTATTTGATTTGATTTTTTTATGATATTGGGAAAAGAAAATTAGATAATTTCCTCGAGAGAGGAGAAAAGTTTCTTTTAAGAAAAATGAAATGAGCATTTTAAGAAAAACAGTCTTAAGAAAGACTATATTAATGTTTTTAGACAAACAATCTTAAAAAAATGAAATTAGTTTCTCAAAAAAATATAATATTATCCTTATGAGAAAGGGAAAACCTTCTTTATTGCAATGTGATGATGAATATATGATGCAAAGATGTAAATTTCATATAACATGCATGTATACGTTGATGTATGTTTTCTTGATTCAATAGTCAGGGACAATATTGGAGCACTCTTCCTTCTATCCCTGATTCGGTTGTCTTCACTCTTTGTTTGCACTAGCGTGCATCTGGAAATTCTTGACTCGTGACAATGGCTTCTTGCCCTGGTAAATTTCCCCCTGATAAATTTGGTTCCCTTTGTCTGAACTTGTGTATAAAAACAGTAGATCTTCCTTCATGATACCCTCATCACTTCCAGATGGTTTTGAAAAGAGAATCTATCATTCCAAGCTTCAAAGATTGTGTATGCACAGCCGCTCTGTATCGAGAAATCAAAAGGCCACTGCCTAGAGCTAACCATCGTAGCAATTGATGAAAAATCGTACTGCCCGGGAGAGGCAAAAGACACATTCATGCCAAGGATGATGGTTTGAACCTTAGAAACAACTAGATTTGAAGATGTTTGCTCAATTGCTGACATTGAATTAAGTCCTCTTAGCATTGCATTGATTTTTAGAAGCAAATTCGTAAGGTACTGATCATTGACCATGGTTGGAGCCATACACTTGTGATTAGGCCAAACTCGACAAGATTCATGAAGATCAAAAATTTCTTATTAAGTAAAACACAAAGGATGAACTGTGGAGCTCCAAGAAGTTTGGATGTCCTCAAACATTCGACAACTTATTCATCCTTTCATATGGCTTCTGTCAAGAGTTTTCAACCAGGGAAGCTATTTGCATGGTGTTCAGGGCTTTTGTATAGCGTTGTAAGTGCATCAAAGATCAAAGCTCGGTGAGAATAAAAGTGGGACGCTTTGGCTTGTCAGTATTAATGTATGGGAAATCACTAGAATAATGCAACTTGTATGTTGTGATAATGGACAAAACAATCATATATAGTGAGCTCCACTATTTCTGCTTCACTGTTTTCAGTCGTCACATCTTTCTGACTCATTGATGTCAGCTCAATTCAATGATATTGTACTCCTAGATGATATAAGCATCCACAAATGCCCTAGCATTCATCATTTCTTGCTTCAGCACTGATTCTAAGCATGAGCTTTGTGTCTCATAGCCACATGTTAACTACGAAGATCCACTCCAGAGAGATTGTCTTGCTTGAAAAAAAATCTTCTTCTTTTATTTTCAAAATTTTGAAAAATAATAATTAAAAGAATTTTGAAAATGTTTAATCACAAATTTTGAAAAAATATTGGCCCTTTCTAGATTTCACAGTTGAAACAAATCATAAAACAAGAGTTCATTTAATATCAAAGAATTAATTACACTTTTAATCCTTCCAAAAAGTTATAGCTATTTGACAAGTGTCAAGGTTAATGCTATCTTTGAAGTAGGGTTAAGTAAGAAAAGGATAAGGTGTCTTGGGTTGTTATCTTTTGTCAAAGGTTTGGCATTCTTATTTTTTGATGTTCACTGATCTGATAGAGTATTTTCTATGCTCATCTACTGGAAGTGTTCTCTGGTTCTCAGCTCTCCTAATCATATTCGGGTTGTGTGATGCCTTATTAAGGGATTTATAAGATCGCCTCTTATACAACAACTGCACAGTCTTCATATTCGAGCCTCTTTTTTAGGTTTTCAACTCGAATCCTCCTTTGGTTTCAAGACATTATTCAAAATTTATGTCTTGAACCCCCTTTGTTATTTTTCTCTATCATGTATTAAAAATTTTAGAAAACCTTTACAAATAAAAGATTAATCTTGATGGGCGGGATGAGATATGAAGATAGTCAATTCTGTTTAGAAATCCATGTATGATTAGAAGGGACTTTTAAGGCACATAATGTAGGCTATGGTTCACGGTTATGAAAGAAAGGGATAAATAGGCTCAAACAAATGTTTAACGGTTATTAAACAAAGGATCAATAATTATGATACCTTCAATCTTGCTTTGCTAGATTTGAATATGCTCATATGTGTGTTTTATTTTCTCTTGATGTTCTATGATCTTCTGGTGAACTAATTCTAGAATTATTATACTTGAACAATCTTATGGTTTGAAGCTTGATGCGTCATTTGACTCGAGGGACTCTTTGCATGTGCTTCTTGTCTTCTTTTCTTTTCTTTCTTCCTTTCTTCTTCCTTTCTTTCTTCCTTTCTTTCTTTTTTCTTTGCTTTTTTCTCTTTCTTTTTCACTTTGCTTTTTTTCTTTGCTTCTTTTACATTTGTTTGATTTTTCTCTTTGCTTTGATTTGATCTTTGCACTTTTTATTTGGTTCACCTTTCAGTATCTTATCTGGATTGATGGGCTTCACTCATGTGAGCAGGTTTCCTTCACCTTGCCCCCCAGTGTAGAGGGTGATCCTTGGCTAGGGTTGAATTAGGAGAAATCATAATTCAAGCTCAAATGGGGACACAAGGGATATATATTTTCTCTTTTTGTGAAGGGATAATGAAAGAAAGACGTTCATCATTTCATACACGGAAGTCTTTGCAGAAGAGATATCCTCAGGGGATAGATATTCAGGATTAACTTCATTAACATGAAAACAATGTAATTAATGCATGATAGAATTATTTCGAATTAATACTATTTTTTGTTCTTGCTTCTAGTATGTCTCAATTGTTTAGACTTCTCTCCAGAAAATTGATGCGAGATGCCCCACGTTGTGTCTTCTTATAGGAAGGTTCACGTTCAAGTGAACATCTTGTACTCAATTGTCTTCAGGTTTTACTGGTAGAAAAAAATATAGGTTTTGCGTCTAAGAAGATGATAGTGTGACTTTATTGGCTCAAAGAAAGGTATGGGTATGACTTTTTGTGTCTCGAAAAAGATAAAGACAATATTTCAAAGTCTCAAGGAAAGATAACGTCAAAATTTGGTCTTTTGGTAGTGACCACAAATTATTCCGGGTAAAGAACCGAGATGTTTTATTTTTGGTTTTCGATGGTATAAAAAAGGTCAAATCTTGCCATATGTCAAAAATCTATAATTCTTGAAGAATTAAAAGAATATGTAATTCATTCGATATTCGAAGAACTACAAGATTAAAATTCGTTCAATTATTCAACCCTCGAAGGTAGCATAAATTCAATCATTAAAAGATTTTAAAAATATTAAAGCAAATATTAAAGACAAAACAAAAATGAGTTCAAACAAAACAATGTTCTTAATACAAATGCATGAAAGCTTTATGGTAGATGCAAAGATTTATTATTGATTATCATTAGAATGCCCCATCATTCTTCGACTGTCCATGCCCTGAATCAATCAAATTTTTGACCTTTAGCAATGCCCCACAGTTCTCAATAGAATGTCCTAAGCTTTCTATGTGATAGTTGTATACGGCATCAACATCGTAGCCCTCAGGATATGGGGACTCTTTTGGCTTGGACTGAATGAGAGTCACAAGATTCTTTTCAACTAGCGTTAGAAGTAATTCCTCTTAGGTAATTGGAATTGGATCAAATTTCTCTTTTCTCAAATCATCCTATAAGGTTTAGACCTACGGCTGCCTGAGTAGGTTCCCAATGTAATGATTTCAGCTTCTTTTACTTGTTCAAAATCTTGCTTCTATTCTTAATGTGGTGTTACGTGATTAGGACCACTTCATTGAATCCTCCTCGATTTAATTCCATGTTTTCATGAATGATGCATGTAAAAATGCTTAAAAATTAAATGCAGATGCAAAATACAAAGATGCAAATGAAGATGCAAAAAGATTGATCCCAACGATGAATATTGTAGAACAATTTTCATTAGAGATAAAAGCCTTCACATTACAAGATAGCTCATTTTACAGACATGCTTTTGCTTAGATGCTTGGTCTGAAATGAGTCGGTGCTTTGTCTCAAATCTTCATCCTTGAAAATGAACTCTGTTAATGTCTAGCGGAGCTGAAGTCAGTACGTCGCTCCTTGATGACTTGCGATGAAATTATCGTAGATAAGACTCTACTGCTGGATTACTCCTCGGATCAATGGATCATCTTTTCATCCCACGGTGCATGTATGACAACTCCATGAAAATGCTATATTTAGAGTCTTTTCACTTAAGTTATTGATTGTCTAAAAGCCCATATAGGATCATATAGATGCATTTAGGAGTATAGAGTTACATGAGGTGGAAATATAGTTTGTCATGGCATTTTATTTTGTAAGTGATGTTTCATTATGTGGAAGGTGTTTTGTTTGATGATGTGTAGGATTTGGGAGCAAGGATAAGAAAAAGAGAATGGCCATGACATGATGAGATTGCTTAGCAAAATGCAAATGCCAAATCAGACGACATTTTGGAAGCAGATAAGATAAAAGATGATATTTTTATGAGCCAGCGGTCCTTGTCTTCACGTAACCTAAACCGCCATTCACCTAAGAGGAGACATCTGCCACCTGGGTCGTCTATTTGTCAAGACCACACCCAGCTACAACTGCCCGGAAGGGGACCATATCCAGCTGCCCTAGAGGGACAACTATTGCAACTACCTTACCCCCTCACGAAAGGAGCCTGATCGGGGTATCTAGAATTTTAAAACAAATTCCTAGGTTTATTCTCCCCCTATAAATAGGAGATGAAGCCACCATAAGAAAGAGACTTTACACACACCGGCTTGATCTTATTTTCAGAGAGAAAAATGTCTCTCCTTTTCGTCAATTATCTTTGCTATGGCACTCCCCAATTAACAAGTTAGAGAGAGTAGCTAGCTAAGCGTCTGAGAGGAGCTAGCGAGCTAGGGCAGTTCGTGGTGGCTGAGGGGAGCTCCAGTAGTGCACATCGAAGGCTTTTCCTCTTCTCTTTGTTGTTTTCTCTCTTTTATCTTATTTGGGTTATATGGAACGGATTAGTTTCTTGCCTTGTTGCTTGGAACATTCGAACCCCACCATGAACTAGTCTTATTTGGTGGGACTTCTTTATGGATATTTAAGTTTTACTTTAATGGATGGTTGTTTTTATATGATGTTGTTTGTTTTGTTTATGATGTTTAGTGCCTTAATGTTGTAGGAGCTATGAGAATAGCCATTCCTTAGGAGATTGCTTAGTGTTTGAGAGAATGACTAAGTATCATGTCCTTAGTGCTTAAGAGAAACTAGGGAGAATCCACATAAGCAAGGGGTTCTAGGTAGTAACTAGGCCTAATCCAACCTCTAAGTATCATGTCCTTAGTGTTTTCATGTTATCTGAACCTATATGATCCCTGCACTTGCTAACGCCAATAGGTTTTTCATGACATTTTAACCTGTCGAGTTCCTTGACTAGAGATAACATAGGGCACCATTCGTAAACTATGTCGGGGAAATAAGGCATGGAAGTAAGACCATCCTAAGAAGTAAGCTTAAGTTTCCTAAGTGACTCCTATCATTCATTTCCGTAATAGCTTGTTGTGTGAGGAGTCTAAAGTCTTGATAATCAAATCCAGTATTTACATGTTGTTTTGCCTTTACATTCTCATTTGATTGCATTAGACTCAATTTAATTTCTCTAAGACATTTTCATTTGCTACCATATTCCATTACACCATCATTTAATTCCCACCAACATCCATTTCATCTTGCCACAACATTCTCATTTGCAAATAACATTACTAACTATACTTAGGTAAAGTAGTTAATTGCTTTGACTGAACTTATAAATTTCCTCTAATCTCTGTGGATACGATACTCACTCATCAATTTATCACTCGTTCAATTGTGTATACTTGCACATATTTTTGTGACCATATATAGTAGTCACAATTCGCGGACAAGTTTTTGGCGTCGTTGCTAGGGAATGGCAATTGGAAGTTAATTAGTTTTGTCATAGCATTTTTATTTTACTTTTTATTTTTTATATATAGCTTTACTTGTTATATTCCTTATCTTTTTCAGGTTTTTCTTAGTGTATGACCAGGAGACACTCTGACGAGCCATTAGAACCAATTGAACATGAGATTGAGATGTTGTTTAGTCCAAGAAAACGTGTTCAACGTGCAAAAATGTATCAAATTGGAAATCAAGGTATTAGTCATGAGGAAGATCAGAATGTTGAGGTAATTCCAAATGTTTGGAATGCAGCCAGACCTCGTGCCATTCGTGATCACTTAAATTCTATCTTGGATGACTTAAATCCAGGAATTATGGCACCCGAGATTCAGGCATCCCATTTTTAGCTCAAACCTGTCATGTTCAATATGCTAAATTCCATAGGGCAATTTGGGGGCATGCCAAATGAAGATGCCAGACAACATATTCGTAACTTCTTGGAGGTGTGTAATTATTTCCATCAACAAGGAGTGCACGAAGAGGTATTAAAGTTAAAGTTATTTCTATATTCTCTGCGTGACCGAGCAAGGGCATCGTTGAGTGGCATTCCAGCGGGTTTGATGGAGTCTTGGACTGATATGTACAAAAGTTTTTTTCTACGATATAATACTCCGAACATGAACACTCAATTGAGGAACGATATAGCTTCTTTTCGTCAAGTTGATGATGTATCAATGTATGAATGTTGGGATCGGTATAAAGGATTACTTCATAAATGTTCAAATTATGGTTTTCAAGATTGGAATCAAGTGGTAATGTTTTATAATAGAGTTAATGCGCCCATGAGGATGATGCTAGATGTCTCAGCAAATAGAACATTACTCGATAAATCACATGCAGAAGCATTCGACATTCTGCACATGATTGCCAACAATGATTATCAATTTTCATCTACAAGGATTGGAATTGGCAAAAATAACATGGAGAATTCGAGTTAGACACTAAGGATTCTGTGTTCACCCAACTTGTTGTTGTCACCAATATGTTAAAGAATTTACAAAGACCAAGTGAGGTGAAAGAAGTGAAGGCAGCCAATTCAGTATGTTTATTATGCCATGGAAATCAACATGAGAACAAGCACCCAACCAATCAAGAATCCATCAACTATGTAAGAAACTATAATCGAGGAAACAACAACCCCTATTCTAAAACATATAATCCTAGATGGCGCCAACATCCAAATTCTCATAGGGAAATCAAGGAACCAGCAATGCTAATCAACCCGTTCAGCAGCAGAATTTCAATGATTCTCAAGGTTTTCAAATGAATATGCCATGGCATAATTCTAACAAGGGAAGTTCATCTTCATCTAACACAAGTTCTTTGGAGGCCATAATGCAAGATTTTATAGCAACCACTAAGACCATGTTGCAAGACCATGCGACCTCCATAAAAAACCAAGGAGTTTTTCTTCAAAGCCACAGTTCATCTCTAAGGGCGTTGGAGGGTTAAGTTGGTCAAATTGTCATGGCATTACAAGAACGTCAACCAGGACGTCTATTGAGTGACACTGAAGTCATAAAACCTCAAGGCAAGGAGCAATGCAGTGTACTCACTCTACGGAGTAGCACCCAACTCAATGAAGAAGACAAGTTTATGGGAAGATCGACGAATGATTTACCCTTGTAACCGTTCAGGCTGAGCGTGAATTGCCATAAGAAAAACAAGTGGAAGAGGTTAAGGATGAGGGTTCATCAAGTAAAGCAAATAAGTGAGCAAACAAAAATTCCAAGGTAAACGATGTTCCCGCCCCTTCATTAAAGAAAGTCAGACCCCCACCTCATCTCCCACAAAGACTGAAGAAGCATAATGATGATATTCAATTCAATAAGTTTATTGAAATTAAGCCAACTTCACATCAATGTTCTTTTTCTTGAAGCTATAGAACAAATGCCTACATATGTTAAATTCCTCAAGGAGATTGTTACCAAGAAAAGAAAAACTGAGAAGTACGAGACAGTTGTCACGAAAAAAGAATATTGCTCTGCCTTAAGGAAGCTGTCACCAAAAAGACAAGATCTAGGAAGTTTTATCATTCCATGTTTGATAGGAGAAAATTATGTTAGGAAGGCACTATGTGACCTTGGCTCAAACGTGAACTTAATGCCTAAGTCAATCTTCGTGAAGCTTGGAATAGGAAATGACAGACCCACCTCTGTTATCTATCAATTAGTCGATCGTTCCCATGTTCATCATGAGGGCCGAGTCGAGAATGCCATTGTAAAGGTGGACAAATTCGTTTTTCCAGTAAACTTTCTTATACTGGATTGCGAGGTTGATGCCACAACACCCATAATCTTGGGGAGACCCTTCCTACCTATCGGGCGTATTTTAATCGACTGCGAGAAGGGTGAGCTTACCATGAGAGTGGCTAACCAATGTGTCACTATTAATGTTTTCCATACTCTCAAGTACATGGATGAGGCTGAAGAATGCCATATCATTTTCAAAGCGGATTCATTGATAGCAAGGGAAGCTGATAAATTTTACCATGACAATTTCATTCAGCTGGAAAGTTATGATAGGCTATTTGAAGAAGGAAGTGTCGAAGATCCAATGACTTTTCTTTGGAGAAGCAGTAGGCTAGCTTCCTCATAACGAGCAGCACATGTACACATTTTGAATCTCTTGATTTCGATGAATTTGTTCCTTTTAAGCCCTCATTACAGCATACACCTACCTTAGAGTTAAATAATTTACCACAACATCTTAAATATGCTTATCTAGGTAGTAATGAAACTTTACCTGTTATTATTTCCTCTGCCCTTACTCCTAACCAAGAATGTAGTTTGTTAAGAGTTTTGTCACAGCACAAGAGAGCGTTAGGATGGACTATGGTGGATCTGAAGGGAATAAGTCCCACCATTTGAAAGCACAAAATCCTGCTGGAAGAATGCCATGAAAAATCTATAAAACCACAAAGAAGATTAAACCCAATCATGAAGAAAGTCATGATGAAAGAATTCTCAAATGGCTTGATGCCGGAGTGATTTACCCCATTTCTAATAGTTCTTTGGTGAGTCCCGTCCAAAGTGTGCCAAAGAAGGGAGGCACGACCGTGGTGACAAGTGAAGACAATGAGCTATTACTAGCACGCATTGTCACCAGGAGGCGGATATACATGGACTACCACAAACTCAATAAAGCCACTAAGAAGGATTACTTCCATTTGCCTTTCATCGATCAAATACTGGATCAAGTGGCTGGGAAAGCAATTACAATTTCTTGGATAGATACTCGGGGTACAATCAAATTACCATTGCACCAGAGGACCAAGAAAAGACTACGTTCATATGTCCCTATGGCACTTATGTTTTCCAGAGGATGCCTTTTGGACTCTGTAATGCCCGGGCAACCTTTCGGTCTTGCTTACAAGTCATATTTTCTGACATGGTTTAGGATTTTCTAGAAATATTTATAGATGACTTCTCCATTTCTGGAGATGACTTTGAGAAATGCCTCGGTAATCTGGAAAAGGTACTCAAGCAATGTGAGGAGGTTGATCTCATGCTGAATTGGGAAAAGTGTCACTTCATAGTGACCGAAGGCATTGTTCTAGGCCATAAGATCTCTCAAAAGGGCATTGAAGTGGACAAAGTCAAAATCAAGGTGATCAAGAAGCTACCCCCACCAACTTCTATCAAGGGCATTAGGAGATTCCTTGGACGTCCTGGGTTTTATAGAAGATTCATCAAGGACTTCTCCACGATATACAAGCCCTTATGCACCCTGGTTCAATAAAATTAGCCCTTCGTGTTCGATACAAATTACCATGGCATATTCACCGAGCTAAAACAAAGACTTATCTCTGCACCTATTTGGGTTCCCCCCCGATTGGACATCACTATTTGAGCTGATGTGTGATGCGAGCAATTTTCCCGTGGAACCTGTTCCTGGGCAACGCATAGGTAAAATTTTCCATGTTATATATTATGCTAGTCGTACCTTAAATGAAGCACAACTAAACTATACTGCCACTGAGAAAGAATTACTTGTCGTGGTATTTGTATTTGACAAGTTTAGGCCATACATGATAGGAACCAAAGTCATTGTTCACACTGATCACTCAGCTATAAAATACTTAGTGAGCAAGAAAGATACCAAGCCTAGACTCATTAGGTGGATATTACTACTGCAATAATTTGACTTAGAGGTAATAGATAAGAAAGGTACTGAAAACCATGTTGCAGATCATTTATCTAGGCTAGAGAATAATTCTGAATGCCATGACATTTTAGATATTCAAGAAGAATTCCCTGATGAGAAAATTTTATATGCTACGACAATTCTGCGGTACACTAACATCGTCAATTTTCTTGTTAGTGGTATTTTGCCTTATGAATTGAACAACAAGGGCAGGAATAAGTTCAAGCATAATGCCAAGTTCTACTTTTGGGATGAGCCATACTTATTCAAACAATGCGCCAATCAAATAATTCGACGTTATGTCCCTAAGAATGAGCAAAGAGACATTTTACACCATTTCCACACAACCCCCTGTGGAGGACATTTTGGAGGTACGAAGACTACTGCTAAGGTCATCCAATCATGCTTTTACTAGTCGTCACTGTTTAAGGATGCTCACGAGTTTTGCAAAGCGTGTGATAGATGCTAGTGCACTGGGAATATTTTCAGACGACACGAAATGCCATTACAAAGCAAGCTTTTTGGCGTATAGGGCATTGACTTCATGGGACCATTCCCATCTTCTTTTAGAGACTTGTATAATTTGCTTACTGTGGATTACATATCTAAGTGGTTGAAGTTATTGCCACACCGAGGAATGACTCTAAAATTGTGCTCAAGTTCCTTCACAAGAATATCTTTACCCAATTTGGAGCACCAAGAGCCATCATCAGTGACAAGGGCACTCATTTTGATAACAAGGTAATTGACAAGGAATTACAAAAATATGGAGTACAACATAAAATCTCCACGGCATACCACCCACAAACCAATAGGAAAGTTGAAGTTTCTAACTAGGAAATCAAGCAAATCCTAGAGAATGTGGTGAGTCCTAGGAGGAAAGACTGGTCCCCGAAGCTGGACGAAGCTATATGGGCTTATCGGACAGCATTCAAAACACCTTTAGGAATGTCACTTTTCAAGATGGTATATGGGAAAGCATGCCGCCTACCTGTGGAGTTAGAGCATTATGCCTTTTGGACGATCAAGAAGCTAAACTTTGATGCACAACTAGCTAGGGAGCAAAGATTACTCGATCTGAACGAAATAGAAAAAGTTTGAGCACAAGCATATGAAAATGCCAAGCTTTACAAAGAAAAAACCAAGAAGTGGCATGAACGAATGCTTTTGCCAAGGCATTTTCATATTGGCTAGCAGGTGCTCCTTTTCAACTCGAGGCTAAAGTTCTTTCCTGGCAAACTGAAGTCACGATGGTCTGGACTTTTTGAAGTACATCGAGTCTACCCTCATGTCGTTGTTGATATCAAGAATATAGATGATGAGTCCATTTTCAAAGTTAACGGCCAGCGCCTGAAGGCTTATCAAGGAGCTCCGCCCTTGCGTGACAAATCGGCACTCTTCTTGTACGATGTCCAAATCTGCTAAGCATCTTGAAGATGCCGTTACTTTTTGGATTTACTCATGTGCATAAATAAATGTTTATTTTGTTACTGTTATATTCAATTTTTTTTGTTGATTATTTTATTTTGTTTTATAAATTTAGGGTCCACGTAGCACGCACGTGATGATCATAAGGCTGAAGAAAGGGGAGTGGGCGGTAATAAGACAAAATAGGAGGGAAATTTTCACCTTTTTACTTTTTTAAATTTTTAGTTTTTCTTTAGGGTTTATTTTAATTATTTTTTTCTTTTTCCCTAACTAACACCCCATCCACACGTTAAATAACCCCTATTTTACCTTTTCATCTTATTTTTATCATTTTTACACTCTCACTTATCTTTATATTTTCTTCTTGTTCCCTTCTCAAAACCGAAAGCCATAGCCAAAAAGCTTCAAGATTTTTAATCTTTTCTTTATTTTATCAACTACACCATGGTGCACTCACGTCCCTCAAGCATGGCTCCATTATCTCCATCACGTTTCGTAAATGAAGCGGTGCAAGAAAGGTTTCAAAGCCTCAAAAACCATCGGGTTTTCTTTGAGTTAGGCTATGTTTTCTTCGACAATGAAGCTGCTGACCTCAGCAATGATGTCATTGACATTGTTCACCAACACCAGTGGCAAAAAATTGCCAAGCATCCGGAGAATGTGAATGTCTCTCTGGTGAAGGAATTTTATGCCAACTTAACCGACCCAAATCAACATGTTGTGGTGGTTCGTGGTATTGCTATTCGTTTTACCTCTTCGGCTATTAATCGTTATTTAACTTGCATGATATTGTTGATAACCACACCACTTTCGTAAAAAATGTAGATAATGAGACTTAACATGGCATATTGGAAGACCTATCTTTTCAAACACACAGTGGAATGACCAACAAGTCAGCCGAAAAATGATGGACCACGAGAGGCTACAACTGAGGGCTAAGTTGTGGAATCATTTCATGAAGCACAAGCTTCTCCCTATTGCCCACAACACCACGGTCTCACAGAGGATGCTTCTCTTGCACTCTATTTTAGTAGGCGTTCTATTGACATAGGCAAGATAATTGTGGAACAAGTTCATACTTGTTTGAAGCGACCTGCCAGTGCCTTGGTATTTCTAAACCCAATTACGGCTCTCTTCCGTAAGAAGAATGTGCCCGAGGAGTAATTTGATGAGATATTACCTGGACTGCCTGTTATTACAAAGGCCAAGCTTCCTATGTTACTTGGATTCCAGAAAAATAAGGGAAAAGAAAAAGAGGAGAACACTTCCTACGCTGACACAACCCAAGATGCCGGGGCAAAACTAGATACCCTAGAAGAGGTCACTAAGTGAACCTAAGATCACGTGGGGCAGCTAACCAGCAATATGATAACCTTCTTTGCTTATGTAAAGCGTCGAGATGATTTTGTCATGAATGCTTTCATGGAGATTCTCCCGCACGTTAATCTTGATATCCAGTCTTCCCTGATACGCTCTTGCAACCATATGAGAATACCAAGGCATAGAAGATGCTCACCAGCCCACTGATGATGAGGAACCAGCCAATCCTGATCCATTTTACTCTCTTCCACCAACTGAATGTTAAGAAGTCGAGCTCCAGCTTTCAACTGTACCAGTACCCCCGCAACCCATATAGCCACTTGAGGATGAAATAATCAGAAATGTTGCAGCAAATTTCTCTACGAATGAGTACACGCCGGTTCAAGAATGTGCCTAAGCGTGAAGAGCCTCAACTATCCCAAGTCCCAGAAGGCCTTAGGACCCCCTGTTGTACCAGCATCATATTCTAAACATTCTAGCCCCATAAAATTATGCAAGCGCCCACATCGCACGGCTGTCGCACAACCACTAGCATAAGTAATCAAGGTACCTTGCATTACATTGCATAGTATGTAGTCTAGTTTTACCTTAGTTTTTATTTAGCATTGAGGACAATGGTTCTCTCAAGTTTGGCGGAGGTAGGGTATCTCAAATCATTGCACGACAGTATTAGTATAATGAATATGCCATGCCATTAGTAAGTGTTCGAATTAGTTTTCTGTAATAAATTAATTATACCCGATGATGATAAACTCTTTATGGCTAGAATTAAATGTACACTGTTGAGGGTGATAGAACCAAATCTAGGACTTGCTTCTTTGAAACCTTTGGATACACGATTTATGTTTTCCATGCTTAAGGAACTTAGAAAAAAATTTATAAGAGAACTCTTGCATATCTTGGCATAAAACTTTGATAATGAATTTTGAAAACCCCGCATAAAAAATGAAATCGCGAATAAATGCTCCGGTATATCTGTAGAGGGACACTCCTCTATACCCTGGCATTGCCTGAAAAATGCATTTAAATAAATGACATCCACAACATATGAGTGAATGAAAGTAGTCACATGATGACTCTACCTGACTAGCTCGGGGGTGGAAGGTATGCTCCCTTTCACCTATAGTGTAGGATGGTAGGTGTAATGGGTTGATTCCCCTCGTTGCAGTGTTAAAAAAACAATGTGGGAGTAAACTTTATAAATATCATGGCAAAACAAGAGATCTTTCTTAGAAATTTTGTAGATTTGTTAAGCATGGACTTGATACAATCATACGCACACACTCACACAAAGGATCTTGCCCTAGGGGACAATACTTGATTTCTCAAACTAGTCTAGTGTGTTGAAACGAACTATTCTGAGGGCTGAAATTCTATCCCATATGAATAACTTGAATCTGAACTTGCCATGGTATTTTTATTTTGCTTGATATTATTCATTGCTTGAGGACAAGCAATAGCTTAAGTTTGGGGGTGCGATAACTTCGTAAAAAGGCTATATTTAGGGTATTTTCACTTAAGTTATTGACTGTCTAAGAGCCCATATAGGATCATATAGATGCATTTAGGAGCATATAGTTGCATGAGGTGGAAATATATTTTGTCGCAACATTTTATTTTGTAAGTGGTGATGCGTTATGGGGAAGGTGTTTTGTTTGATGATGTGTATGATATGGGAGCAAGGATAAGCAAAAGGGAATTTTCGTGACATTATGAGACTGTTAAGCAGAGTACAAATACCAAAACGAATGGCATTTTGGAAGCAAAAAAGATGAAAGATGATATTTTTATTAGCTAGATGTCAATGTCTTCACGTGCCCTGAACCGCCAGTCACCTGGGAGGAGACATCTGCCACCTGGTTATCTGATTCTATCGGGACCACGCCCAGCTATAAGCTACCCAGAAGGGGACCACGCCTAGCTACCCTGGAGGCGACCACTGTTGTATATGCCTTAGCCCCTCACATGAAATGAGTCTGATCGGGGTATCCTAGGAATTTTAACACAAATTCCTAGGTTTATTCTCCCCTATAAATAGGAGATGAAGCCACCATAAGAAAGAGACTTCACACACTCCAACTTGAGCTTATTTTCAGAGAGAAAAAGATCTCTCTTTTTTCGTCAACCATCTTTACCACGGTATTCTTCCATTAACAAGCTAGAGGGAGTGGCGAGCTAGGTGTCCGAGAGAACCTAGCGAGCTGGGGCAATTTGTGGTGGCCGAAGGGAGCTCCGGAAGTGCATGTTGAAGGATTTTCCTTCTTCCCTTTGTTGTTTGCTCACTTTTATCTTATTTGGGTTGTATGGACAGATTATTTCTTGCCTTGTTGCTTGGAACATTCAAACCCCACCATGAACTAGTCTTATTTGGTGGGGGTTCCTTATGGATATTTAAGTTTTATTTTAATGAATGGTTGTTTTATATGTTGTTGTTTGTTTTGTTTATGATGTTTAATGCCTTAAGGTTGTAGGAGCTATGAGAGTAGCCATTCCTTAGGAGATTGCTTAGTGTTTGAGAGAATGACTAAGTATCATGTCCTTAGTATTCAAGATAAACTAGGGAGATCCACATAAGCAAGGGGTTCTAGGTAGTAACTAGGCCTAATCCAACCTTAGACATAAGGCTAGGATTTCAATCAACTAAAAGAAGTAGTGCTTGATCGAGAGGTTAGATGCTAGTGTTGCTACTAAAAGGTATTACCGTGACATATCATGTTATCTGAACCTATAGGATCCCTGCACTTGCTAATGCCAATAGGTTTGCCATGTCAACTTGAACATGTCGATTCCCTTGACTAGAGATAGCTTAGGGCACCATTCATAAACTCTGCCGGGCAAATAAGGCATGGAAGTAAGACCATCCTAAGAAGTAAACTTAAGTTTCCTAAGTGACTCCTATCATTCATTCCCGTAGTAGCTTGTTGTGTGAGGAGTCTAAAGTCCTGATAATCAAATCCAACATTACATTTTGTTTTGCCTTTACATTATCATTTGATTGCACTAAACTCAATTTAATTTTTGCCAAGACATTTCCATTAGCTACCATATTTCATTACACCATCATTCCATTCCCACCAACATCCATTTCATCTTGCCACAGCATTCTCATTTGTAAATAACATTACTCACTATACTTAGGTAAAGTAGTTAATTGTTTTGACTGAACTTATAAATTTCCTCTAATCTCTGTGGATACGATACTCACTCATCATTATATTACTTGTTCGATTGTGTATACTTGCACATATTTTCATGACCATATATAGTAGTCACAATTCGTGGACAATGTCTGTGTACGCGACTGCTTCATTGAAAACCTTTATCTCTCCTTGTGAAAATTTTCACTTGAATATCCCCTTACGGATCAAGACTTTCGCATTATGTCATGATGATGCAATGCAAAAACGAGATGAAAAATGACACAAAAAAGAAAAGAAAAGAGTTAGTATAGGTAAAATAGTCGATAGAATTAAAATATGCTATTTAAGTATAACACCTAACCAATCATGGTATCTACCCGATCATGCTTTCATTAGATAGCAATCCTACCAAGACATGCTTTCTACCCAAAATGATTTATTTTCAAGAAATTGATCCTAACCACATGGTATCTAGTTCGCATGCCTTTATTTGAAAAGAATAAATATATTCTAAGAACTTAAAGTAAAAGGTAAAGG